TCTAGATAAAGCTGAAAGGTACAATATGAAAAAAAAAAAAAAAAAAAAAAAAACTGATGATCTTTTATTTAACCACACTTTTAACGGAGCTTCTCTACTTTTTCTTGGCTGAGATTTAAGAATTTGAGATCTTAATGATAAAAACACTTTCTTTGATAGTCTGTACACCGTTCTATCAAACAATGTGCAGGTGGGTTTGTATGGGTCGAAATATGACCAGACGAGAATCCGCGCGAAAAGGAACGACAAAAAGTCACTTGGGCCGAAGTCGTATTTATACAACGCTATAACGACATGCACCTCGACCGGTTGAGGTCGTGTATTCAGAATGCTTGAACGTCGAATTGGATGTTACGGCATTTCATAGGGTCAACCAGCAATACAGCCAAATGGCTTAGGTACTGGCTAATGACTGTTGGATAAATGAGGATACCTAATATATAAACTAAGTGAGAAGAAGAAGAAAGGAGACTGAAAGCAAACTCTCACATAGACATATTTTCAGAGAAGAGGGATCTTCATCTCTTTCTCCTCGCTAAAGAGAAAGAAGCAGAGAAGATCAGATCCTCAATATACAACGTTAGTCTCATCATATCAAATGTACGGGGGTCAACCTTGTTAAAGATCGGTGACATTTTTATCTGTGTATTCTTCATTATTGTTCAATATTATGAAAATAACCATCCTCTTTTTATATTACGGGATTAAGTTATAACTATGGTTAAAGCTTATGTTTAGCTATGCTTGCTTGTTCTTATCCTCTATCTCAGATCTAGGATGAATTATTTTGTCTAGGATTTACTTTAAATCTTCCTATTTAATTAGTTTATAAAAAGACTCTTAACACTTTTTTGGTAAAACATGGTTCTCATTCTATCATGTATGCTTAGAAATATATTTGCCGCTAGATTTTTCATTCAAAAATAAATCTAAATATTCACCAGATTTTTCAATTACACATATGGCCTCACTGCCTCACACTTATGAAAATTTAAAAACATTTCCCTTTGTTTTTATTCCTTTCCAAATAGAAAATGGCTGAACATTCCAGCAGAAACAACATTCCAAAAGACAGCAAGAACCAGAAAAGCAGATAAACATTGTTACTAGAGTACCATTGTTCACTAGCAAAAGACCAAAACAGCAATAGAAATGGATCTATGCAAAAACCATACAATAGAACATAATGACATTCCACACAAGTAGGTTAGGCTTATAAAATTTGTACATCAGATATGTTTCTGCAGCGAAAATCAAGCATTTGCGTGGGATTATCTCCATAGTTTTTTTGTAAAGGTCAAAGCTTCAGAAATCAAATAATCTCTAATACTATGAAATTGAAAAATACGGGCATGAAACAACAAAAAATCTGGTATCCATTGGCAGGAGAGTGATTTATAATCGCTGTATTTCCACATCTCTTGCCTCTTTTAGAACAGAATTTTTGTTTACAAAAAACGAGCAATACTTACAAAGACACGGAAAATATTTCAAAAGAAAATTGCAACTCTCTTAGCAATCTTGAAAAAAGGAAAAAAAAAGAGATAGAAACTACTAGTAATGCTTAATACCAAGGCTCAGATTTCTCTATTATTATTGGCTGCAACCTTCTCCAGATTGCCCGCCAAGATACTGAGTCTTGTATCATCTCAATGCAAATTAACAATGCTATTTACCAAAAGTGCTGCCTCAATTTTTCACCTTTTTCTTTATTTCTAGTATGATTCTCGCTGTTAAGGTGTTAATGCAGCCACGTCGCACCAAGACGAGAATCAGTAGCAGTAGCAGCAAAAAATCAACAACGTGCATCTTCCGAAGCTAGAGTTGCAGAAAAGAGCAAACCACTGTTAATCTCTTCCAGCAAGAAATCTTGGCCTTACCAGCAAAACTAAACAAATGAACAAATAAATAAATAAGTAATTCCCATTTCTCATTGATGCCTCATTTTTTTGAGACTGGTAAAATTGATGCCTCATTTATGAGCTGGCTTTCATGAAAAATGAAAATGTGTTTCCATCAAACAACGTCCAGAAGGATAAATTGAAGTATTGAGGCTCAGAGTTGGGTTACTAATTGGGCAAAGAGAAAGAGACCACGCCGTGGCTGCAAAAGAACCAGTTGCATGTGATAGAGCAGCCTCAAATCACATAACATCAGTGGTTTGCGAAGCCAAATACGGATCTGCTTGTTTCAATGCAGGGCATAAATTTTTTTGCCCACATAAGCAAATATCATCATTGCCTCTTTGATAAACATAGGTTTTGAAGAATTTAGGGTGCTTTGGACTAAGCTCATAAATCAGAACGAGGTCCAAGTACTACTGTTGTTGCTGCTGGTAATGCTCTGCTTTCTTTCTTATCTGAGGTGAAAAGGAGGACTAGAAGAGGGCTGTAGGTTTTGGTAATAGAGAAATCACAGGCCAGGAGCAACAGGGGGCAACCACCCTCAAATAAGTCCCTTTCTCCCCTGTTGGCCTCATTGGTAATAGAGAAACGATGCTAAGGCTTCTGTTAAAATGGAGGCTCAGATTATGTGGGGCATTGAGTTCTCTGCACCTGCCATGGCTGCAAACCAGAAAGTCAAGTTGCCCCGCCAAGATAATGCCAGCAAAATTCCAATGCCCGAATTCAATTAGCTCAACAAATATTGTCATCATAGCCCCATTGTTTCCCCTATTGGATTTTATGGATGTGTTACTTTGTTCGCATTGCATCAAAATACAGCCAGTGAGGACAAAATTAAGACAACCGAAATGCATGCACAATGCCACATATACACGAGAAACATGCATATGCACAAACATTAGCATGTCGGAGATGGTCATCCACTCTGAGAATCACCTCCCTGAGCCTCATTCTTTGAGCTGAAATGAAGTGGTAGTCTAGCTGGTTATCACGTCAGTCTAACACAGAAAGCTGAAGAATCCCCAGTTCAGAGAATGGCCTTCCATTGAAAACTAATCAATGGTTTCCTTAAAAAGGGTGGTGTTGATTTTCTTGCCAAAAGAAGCGAAAATCTCCATCTCTCTGATCTCTCGTTCTTTGAGCTGCTGAACAGGACAAAATGGGTTACAGTCAACGAAGGTCTTGTGTTCGATCCCGAGCTGTCCAGTTGGACTAATTGGAAATGAGGCTCAGATCTGAGTTCCTAATAAGGCAAAGAGAAGGAGACCATGCCATGGCTGCAAAAACACAGATTGCATGTGAAAGGGATGCCTCAAATCACAGCCCATTACGGTGTTTGTCAAACCAAGATACTGATCGGATTTCTCTATGCCCAAATGGTTTGACCCAGATAAGCAGGCATCACTGCCTCTTTCAGAACTGGTAATTCTTTTCCATACTTTTCAAGAAATAGTGGAAATTTTGGACTAAGCTCATATTGAATACCCAAAAAACGCCTAATGACGAAGGAGGCCAGAAGATATGAACAAGGGACCAATAGGGACATAAACAAAGTCAAAGCCAGAACACCCCCCTCCCCCCCAAAAAAAAGAAGATGAATTTCCTTCTTTATCTCTTTTAAGGCTGATGTTTTTTGGAACATGGAGAATCATTGGTAAAGCAGAGAGAGGCAACCATCTCTGGAAGAAGCTCCCTCCCCC